GTGCGTTCCCACAGTGCGTAATTGTGTGTGTGTGTGTGTGTGTCTATATGTGTGTGTGTGTGTGTGTGTGTATTTGTGTTTATATATGTATTATAAATTAAATTCTAATAAAATCACATCAAATACTCTATCATGTTGTTCATATTTTTTTTTTTCTTTCATATTATTTATATATTTATAAGGCCAATTAGATCTTGTAAAAATCAAAGGTTAAGCTATTAAATAAGTTTTATTTTAAAATTTTTTTCTTATTAAAAGTAAGCTTTAGTGTCCTCTTAAGATATATTAACCATTTTAAGATGTATATTTGATTTGCTTGCAATAAATTTTAATTATCAAACAATATATTAATATTTAAAAATATAATAAAAAAGATAAGTGCAAGCTCTCTCTCTCTCTCTCTCTGTGATTTTTATCTATTTATTTGGCCAGAATAGTATTATTGAAAAAAATATACCATTCCTCTCACTTCCTCTCCCTCATTTGTCTCTCATAATCTCCCTCTTCCTCTCACATATACTATTTAACAGGAAAGAGATAATTATTTTGTTTTACTTTTTTATTGTAAGAGGCTTCAAAGATTTTTAGTTGAGCTAAACTTTATTTAATTTACTAAAGTTTAACTATTTGAAAGACATTCTCTTTAAATAAAAAGGTCGTGGAATTTCATTTGTTTTATACAAAAAGAGAAGTTTGTATTGTCCATAAAATTATGCGAATGAAGAATATGAGAGAAATGCATGGCTTTTGTAATTGATTTCAATGGAGTTGTTAAGGATAAAGGTAGATATAGTTGATGGTTGAACTAGAATTTATCCTTCTCACTTAAAGGGTTGATCTCTTCCTAATTAGCTACTTTTAGGATTAGCTCCTATTTTCTATTTTATTTTGAATTTAAATAGATTTCTAGATATTAAGACTGTATTTGTAATATGAATGTAAGAGGGATTTAAATTGTATGATAGTTTAATTTTTCAAAATTCCCTCTTTCAATTATCCACATCATTCTCCCCCTCCTCTCAACTATTAATTGTCCCAACAAAGCAGTAACAAATTCCAACTTTTACGATAGTAGGAATTCAATTGTGAAAGTCATAACTACTCTCTCAAATGCTGAGCTTCACCTTCTATTGCCAAGATTTGAGACATAATTGATGATTTGTAGAAATTAGGATTGGAGCTCATAGTGGTGAGCATCAATGAGATCAACATTATGTGAAGGAATTGTAATGAAATATTATTGAGAGAGATATCAATGAGACCGAGGACATGTGAATGAGAATAAGAGATCATGAGGGGTGGTACCTTAGGGCGGGGTTTGGTGGGATTGTCGATGTGTGAAGTGGAAGAAGATGTTACAAAGGAAGCATGTTGTAGGGAGATTATGATAAACTTGGTCGATTTTGGAACATACAAGAAATGAATTAAGGATATGTTTCAAATTCTTTGAAGAAAAAATATGGATTTACTTTTTGACTTGTTATTGGGAGACGGTATACTCAAATTTCTTCTAACTAAAAAATCCTCTAATTTGCTAACATTCTTTTGGTGGAAGAATGGTAAACAATCCATCTCATTTTATAAACAATGCTAACAAATCCTAACATATATGGTATAATTTCTTAAAATTATAGTTTTTATGATTTATAAGAATCTCCATCTGTATTATTACTTCAATTTATATGAGGTTCTTATAAGAGGTCTTAGTAGCAATATTCCATTTAATAAAATCTTAAATGAATGCTAGTTTTTAGAAAGACAAAAAAGCATACTCTTTTAATAAGGTCCTGTGGGTTTAGTCAACTAGGGTTTAGTATACCTCTAGTTTGATTAATAAGGATGTGAATTCTCAACCCTTTTCAATTGAATAATAGCTAACAAAAAAAATTTGGCGACATTTACATACATCGCACCCAAAACATTACTGTTTACAAAACATTCACTCTTTTTATATTCTTTTTTTTTTCAAGTTAAGAAAAAAAAACCCAACACGTATTTCTTCTTTTCATCAAATTCTCAATTATTTGATCATGACATGCAAAAATACAATTGGTAGATAGTTCAAAAAAATGACTTGAGAGACATTTTATAAATAGCAATGTTTAGGATAGTATACATGTAAATATACCATAAAAATGATGAGACAAGACATTTTATTATCAAGACTTAAAAATTAATGTGAAAAAGAAATAAAATAATAATTAAACAAAAATATGTTTTTTTTTTCCTTTAAGGCAGTCTAACCCTTTCTCTTTTTTTTTTTTTTTTATTTAGCTAACTGTTATTAGCCTTAATCTTAAAATTAAAACTTATTTGTCCCATGTAATTACATGCCTAATGTTAGCTGGAGCCCGATCCCGCTCCCGCCTCCCTGTTTCGTGAACTGCTCCCGCTTATGATTTGGGAAATGATGCCCTCTGCTTCTTTAAGTTACGAACAGGACCCTCCTCTGAATTATCTTCTGCGATCAACTGTTACAGTCGAGAGATTAAAGAGGGCTTCAGCGTGCTTTGCAAAAGAGGAAGAAAGGAAATAGCATGACCCTCGTTTGTGTTCTTCTTCGAGCTTCTTCGGGATAGAGGAAGAGAAGTGCAAGCAGTAGTTCCTTGCGATAGAGGAAGAATAAAGAAGAAGAAGAAGATTGTTCTCCCTCGGCTTCTTCTTGGTGGCTTGTGGCAAAAGATAAATTGGGTTTGTTTCTCTTGTAAGTTTATTTTCTTCGGTGTATCTCTGTGTAGAGAGAGAAGAAGAGAGAGTAAGAAGTGAGAGATACCTCTTGTAAGTCGAGAAGATCGATTGGTGTAAATTTCTCGAGTAGTAAAATCTTCTGCAACTCCGTGGACGTAGGCAATTTGTCGAACTAGGTAAATCTGTGTGTTCTTTTGTGCTACTGTTTTCTGGTGTGAATTTTCTCTGCTCCTATTTTTCGCTTTATCTTCGATCATTTCTATATACCACAACAACTGGTATCAGAGGTCGTGGTTTTGGATATGAAGAAAGACGGTGTCTGCAGATGAAGTGAAAATTTCAGGGATCGAGAAGTTTAATGACACAGATTTAGGTTATTGGAAGATGCAGATAGAAGACTACCTCAATGGAAAGAAACTTCATCTTCCATTATTGGGGAAAAGATATGAAAGGATGAATGAGGTTGAGTGGAATTTGTTGGATCGACAAGTTCTGGGGGTTATTCGATTTACCCTATCGAGGTCTGTTGCACACAACGTCATAAAAAAAAGATAATTGCAAATCTCATGACAGCCTTATCAGGTATGTATGAAAAGCCATCGGCGAATAACAAGGTATAATAACAAGGATAACAAGGTATATCTGATGAAGAAGTTATTCAACTTGAAGATGGCGGAAGTTATTTCGATTGCTCAACACCTGAATGATTTCAATACTATCACAAATCAATTATCTTATGTTGAAATTGATTTGATGATGAGATACGTGTGATGATATTGTTGGCATCATTGTCAAAAAGTTGGGAAGCCATGAGGATGACAGTTAGCAGTTCTAGAGATAAATCTAAATTGAAATATGATGATATTCGTGATTTGATTTTGACTAAGGAAGTGTGTAGGAAAGATTCTGGCGAGATCTCGAGTAAGAGTTCGACATTGAATGTTGATTTCAAAGGGAGATCACAAGACAGAAACTCAAATAAATGGAGATCAAAATCAAAGTCTGGTCAGCAGACAACTGCTGGAATTGTGGTAAGGCTGACCACATAAAGAGGAATTGCAGAAATCCCAAGAAGATAGAAAACAATAGCTCAAATGTGGTATCTGAAGAAGTACATGATGCACTATTGCTAACAGTTCATAGTTGTGTTGATGATGGAAGTGAATGATGGAAGTGAAGAGAAGAGAAGAGTGGGTCTGGGGCACTCATTCATATTGTTCCACAAACAGATGGTGAAGAACCACATCGTTATGAATAAATCTTACAAGATGAAAGTTCGAACAAATGGGAGCTGGCAGAACTTCCACCAGGGAAGAAGTCATTACACAACAAGTGGGTGTACCGAGTGAAGACTGAGCGTGATGGCAGTAAGAGATTCAAGACTAGACTTATTGAAAAAGGCTTTCAGCATAGACAGGATATTGTCAATTCAGTGGGAGTTGTAAGCAAAGACAAGACTAACCTAGAAAATAGCTTGGAGTTGCACGATTATGTGGACCCTGTTGATATGTTGACTAAGAGTGTTACTCTTGAGAAACTGAAGTTGTACGCGGCTTCAGTTGGTTTTTTGGTGTGAAGACAGAGGCTTTGAGTTGCGGAGGTGGAGGATTCATGTTTGAAGAAAAAAAAGGTGACGCCGCCAGTGGAGGATATCAGTTCGAGGAAGAATACGTTGTAGCATGCGTATCAGTCTCCAAGTGGGAGATTTGTTAGCTGGAGCCCATCCCGCTCCCGCCTCTCTGTTTCCAATCGTAAAAGATCGCGACCGCGACCTTACAATTTCGCGAAATGCTCCCAGCTACAATTCGAGAAACGACGCCCTCTGCTTCTTTAAGTTACGAACAGGACCCTACCTCAAATTATCTTTTGCGATCAACTGCTACATGTGAGAGATTCGAGAGGGCTTTGGCGTGCTTTGCAGAAGAGGAAGAAAGGAAATAGCATGACCCTCTTTTGTGTTCTTCTCCGGGCTTCTAAGTGCAAACAGTAGTTCCTTGTAATAGAGGAAGAAGAAAGAAGAAGAAGATTGTTCTCCCTTGACTTCTTCTTAGTGGCTTGTGGTAGTAGAGAAATTAATTTTATTTCTCTTGTAAGTTTATATTCTTCGGTGTATCTCGGCGTAGAGAGAGAAGAAGAGAGAGCAATGAAGTGAGTGATCCCTCTTGTAAGTCAATACGATCGACTGGTGTAAATTCTTCAAGTAGTAAAATCATCTTCAACTCCGTGGACGTAGTCAATTTGTGGAACCATATAAATCTGTTTGTTCCGTTATGTTACTGTTTTCTAATGTGAATTTTCTATGCTCCTATTTTTTCGCTTCGTCTTCGATCATTCTATTTTATTCTATATACCACAACATCTAATTCCTAAGCTTTACTATTCTATTTATCCAAATATTTCATATCACATAAGAAAATACCACTACTTTAAATTTAAAATAAAATAATAATAAATAACTTTACATGCATAAATAATGAGGCATAAATGTAAACTATAAAATTTAGATGTCAGATATGTAAATACAAAAGTATTGATTGGCATCCATCTAAATGAGCCATTACAGGTCCTTGTCCACTTTATAGACCACAGTTGTGAGATCCCTCTCTTTTTTTTTTCCTTTAAGTTTGATTTTAAAAATGTACTTTAAAAAACATAAAAATTTATCGTAGAGAAAATTGCATTTTAATTTTTTTTCGGGCATTTATTATGTTAACATATTTAAAACCAAAATTTTTAAGTTTTACATTTATACCACCCAAACTTTCATCACATCAAAAATACCATCACTTTTAACTTCTAAAGTGTTAAATACATGATTTCATCCATAATTAATGTGGTATGTGTGTAAAAACTAAAATTAAAACATCAGATATGTAAAATACATAGGAATTTAGTGGTATGTACGTGAATCATCATTTGGGAGTTTAGCTCCTGACCTCAAAATAAAATATATTGATGAGTGGAGAAGAGTTACAAAGTCACTGCATGAAAATAATGTGCAATGCATGTGAAATAATTCATGGAACCACATTTTTATCTGATTTTTTTTTTACATGTTTACAGTGAATAATAAAACCAAACAACATTCTACGCATATTCTTTTCCAAATCTAAATTCAATACCAAAAATTGATATAAATTACATACAGAGCACATGAAACATTGATATTTACAAATCAAACAACCACGTGAAAATTTTGAACCATCGAACCAATGCATTTACACATGGCAAGATCAAATGATTAATAATTTAATAAAAATGAAAAATATGGGCTGAAATTTTATCATGAATTTTGATATTTGAGTGAGAATTTGAAAAATGGATGAAAGAAGGTGCTAGATTTGTAAATAATAATGTTTCTGCTGCGCAGTATGTAATTCCAACAAGATAAATGTAGAAAGTTGAACATATGAACTTTAATAGAGACATTATAAATCATACATTATCTTTTGTCTTTTCCAGCCTCTTATCCGCTCACCTCATAGAATAATAAAATAGGCAACAAGATCAGATACACGGGTTGCTCACCACTCTCAAAAAATTTTAAAAAAAAAGCACACTATATATATATATATATATATAAACCATACCATGACTAGGAATGTGCCACGGCTGGAATGTAAAGGATGAATAAAGAACGGTTTTACCTATCTTGAAATGATGCATTCATAAGGTTCACAGCTGAATCCATGAACTGCAAAATGGAATTAGAAAAATAAGTCCCTGAAACTACCATAAATCATTACAAAAAACAAAAATCTACATATTTGCAAAATTAGTTGTGGTTTGCAGAAAATTAAAAAAAAAAAAAAAAGTAGAATCACATGCAAAAAAACATAGTTTTGAAAGTTTGTTTTCTCAGGTTCAATGTTAGAAGTGTGTCAATACATAAGCATGATGATGATAATTATGATATATATATAGAGAGAGAGAAAAAGCCCAATGGCTAATATATATATAAAAAGAGAGAGAGAGAGAGAGAGAGTTGAAAATTAAATTTTTAACAATACTACAAAAATTTTTTGCTAAAGCCCGGCCGATGAATTGTTCAACCATGCAAGAAGATATTGACAGGCCGTTTGGCGTGGCTTTTCTGTCGTTGTGCGGTAGGAAAACACTGTAGAGGTCGTTTAGTTGTTGCGGTGAGCCAACTCTTTTGGAAAAGCCATATTCAATTGGCAAAGCTATCTTAAACGTGGGCCGCACACATTTCTTCGCAAACCTTTTACAGCCATGCCCTCGCTCTTCTCTCCTGTGTCCCGCTCTTCACTATCGTGAGCTACTCTCCCCTCTCTCGCGATTCTTGCCCTAAAGGTAACATCGTCTCTCTCAATCCTCTCCGATCCGTAGCTCTGGTGGCTAGGCTTGGCTCTGTTTGGTTCCGGTGGTTCTGGTGGTAGTTGCGAAGAGCTTGCCTTACTTTTCCTCTCCCTCTCCCCTCTTTTCTTCGGCTCGCTTTTGGATCATTTGCTCTTTGTCGCCCCACGGTATTCTCTACCATTATCTATGCAAACATTTTGATTTTGCAATTAATTTCAATTCTTTGTGTTATATTTGATTGATGGTTTGGGTTCTCTATGCTCTAATCGGTTGATGGTTTTCGGGTTGTTGTGCTCTGATGTTAGATTTTGCAATTTTATTGGGTTCTCTGTGCTCTATTCGGTTGATGGTTTAGGTTCTTTTTGTTATATCTGGTTGATGGATTTGGGTTCTCTGTGCTCTATTCGACTGATGGATTTGAGTGGTTGTGTTGTGATGTTGGACTTTGTGATTTTATTGGGCTCTCTGTCCTATATTTGGTTTGATTGTTTGGCTTCTCCGTGCTCTATCTAGTTGATGGATTTGGGTGGTTGTGTTGTGATTTTGGTTGTTGCCCGAAATTTGATGGTGGTGGTAATTGCATGTAGAAATTAATTGAAATACTTTAGGCTTTGTGGCTGTGTTGTAATGCTCTAGTTGGTGGTGGTGGTGATTTTGTAGTGGTTTCCCAAAATAATGGATTTTGTGATTATAATGGTGTGGAGATAATAGCATCGCTAATGAGGTAGTGTTATGGTTGTGATAGTGTTGGTATTGAGGCCGTGGTAGTGATATGTTTATAGATATGTGATATGTTGATATATGGTGGTGGTGGTCGTGATGTGATGAGTTTATAGACATGTGATATGTTGATATATGGTGGTGGTGGTCGTGATGTGATGGTGATGTTGCAGAAGTTTCTATTCCTTTTTTATGGATCTCCCATAATATTATGTAGTTTAGTTTTTTGCATGCTAGTTGTCGTAATGGGCAAGACAACAAAAAAAAAGGTTCTTCCACAACCTGGGATAAAGAGATGAAATTAATATTATGTGAACTCTGTGCTACGGAGGTTAAATTGGGAAATAAGTCAACCACCTATTTTAACAAAGAAGGTTGGCAAAATATAATAAAAAGGTTTAAGGAAAGCACAAGAAGAAAATACGACAGAATGCAATTTAAAAGCAAATGAGATTAGTTAAAAAATGACTGGAAAATATGAAAAGAGCTAAAGTGAGGATCCACAAGCTTGAGTTGAGAACTTATAAAACGAACCATCGACGCTCCTGAAGAATGGTGGATCATGAGATTGGATGTGAGAATGTTTAAAACGCAAACTTATTTAAAATTTTATAAGTTTTCATTGATCATTTTAAGTATTATTAATTGATTTGTGGGTCGTGCCAGCTGCGAAAAAATTCAAGTTCAGTGGCATTAACCTTGAACTTGAAGATAAGTTGGATCGTATGTTCGATAGAGTGGTGATCACCCGTGATCAAGCATGCGCACCAAGCAAAAGAGGGCGCGGAGGCAAATCTGAGCATTTAAAAGTGGAGCAATTTGTTGCCCAATGAAAGGACTCCAACCTAAATGAAGTAGGATATATTAGTCGATCCAAACATCCAAAGGTAAAGAAAAAGAAAAAGAATGGCGATGTTTTCATTAGAAGTCAGATCTCCCAATTAGTGGCTTCATGCACCAGTGAGCCTGGCGGATCACATGCGACTTCTATTTAACAAATTATGAAAATTCTGAAAGATACTCCAGAAATTGATAAGGACGTGTAGTTTTCCTTGTTCACTATGAAGTTGCTAAAAGAGCCGACCAGGAGAGTTTTTTATGTCGATGAAACCTAACCGTAGGATTAATTACTTTCACTATTACTAAGGCAATCGAGATGCGTGAATTTCATATTATTTGATGGTCATTTCTATGTGGGATTTTAACCATGGATATTATATTATGTTTCTTTCGTCATGTTTGGATTTTGTTTTTTTCTTTTTATTTGGACATCTTTAATGCAGTTCTTGCAAGTGTTATTTATATGCTACTTTTAATGTTCAATGCAGTTTTTTTTCTAATCCAGAGTTTTTCTTTTTTTTTAAGTGCTAGCTAAATAGACAATGAATATCACGAATAGAAAAAAACGCAAGAGAAAAATTGCAGTTGCATTATGTTTAATGTATAAAAATTACATGTCATATGTTGTTTGATCTCCTTGCATGACATCTACGTATATAGGTGAAAAGTGAGTAAGGGAGTTGCTTGTGGGTCATCCCATAAAATTTAACAACATGTTTCGTATGACACAGCCTATTTTTATTGATCTATTAAAAAAATTGCACATAAATCATGAACTTCATAGCTCATTCAGGATTACTTCAAGCGAGGTGTTAGCCATGACCATATATATTTTATTACTAAATGAGTCTATGAGAGGTGTCATCGAGCGATTCCAACACTCATCTAAAACAATCAGTTGATATTTCTCAGTTGGGTTAAATGCTCTTATTAGTTTACCATCAAAAGTTATCATACCCAAAGACACCACATTCCAAAGCACACACTTACAGATTTCACAGGACTAGCATTATATGTCATAATTTAAAGTAGTTTCATGTGTTCATCTTTTTCTAAATTTGTTCGAACATAGTATCTCTAATTTATTTCATAACTGTTTTAGGATTGTATGAGAGTGATTGATGGAACACATGTGAATTTATATTTGCCCAATAATAAAAAAATAGTATACATTAGACGATATAGTTCACCAACACAAAAATATAAAGATTATATATGGTTTCAATATGTGATTCGCATCTGTAATGGTCGGATGGGAAGACAGTGCACACAACAATAATATTTTCAATTTAGTTGCACGAACTCAAAAGTATAACTTTCTGAAGCCACCCCCAAGTTAGCTTGACAATTAACAAATAAAAATACTAATATCTCGTGCAATACAGATGAGTAATATTACTTCAGAGAAATTTATTTAGTTGACGTCAGGTATCCATTACAAAGAGGGTATCTCAATCCCTTTCTTGATACCAAATATCATATTTCTGATTTCGAGAGAGCTAACAATGTCACTCGAGGTAGGAAAAGGATACTCAGCAAGAGACTCATCCTTACACGGTGTCATTGAAAAAATATTTAGAGTTTAAAAGAAGAAATGAGGCATATTGCCGGATATGCCGACATATTTGTTTTCTAACAAAGTGCAGATTGTGGTCGTCACAATGGCTCTCAATAACTATATTCGGCAGCATCCTTACGCTGCGATGTTCCACAATTCTAAGCTCATCATAAATCAAGTTTTGGTAAATATGAGTTAGCAAGCAAGTGTTGGCTCGGTACGTGATCAAGGGTGAAGATTAAATTGCAAATTTTAAAAAGTTCAAAATGATGTATCACCTAAAGAAAAGAGAAGCAATTGACTAATCTCAATTTGGGATCACTTCTGCTTCATGCTTTTTTTCTTTTGATTTTGAAAAAATATATATATTTGGTTGTAATGGGTATTTTTAATAACATTCAAAACACACAAATGTTATTTTATGTGTTTTTTTTTTTATTTGATTTATATTTAAAGCTGGGAAATAAAAACATGTGAAAAATACAGTAAATAAACACATGTTTTTAAAACAAAAGAACAAATAAAAATAAAAGTAGAAAAAATTTGTTAACCCAAGCAAAAATTGGAAATTCTCACACAATTGTTATAGAAAAACTATTAGTATCATACATTGACACCCCAAAGCAAAGAAAGAATGTTTACTTCATTGTGCATTGTTTAACGCCTACAAGCAGAGCCAAAAAAATCCTTCTACCTAATTAGGCCTCAATAAACTAGATATCCAAAGAGATCCTATACAAGAAATTTTTTTAATAAAACAAACTTGAAGTGTAATCGACCAAACCAAAACGAAGGGATTATCTAAAAAAACAAGTGAATGAGAATGCGACTCTCATTCAATAGAGCAAACAAGGTGAAATAGTATGACGACATGGATACTACTCGTCGACCATAAAACAAAAGGCAAAGCATATACAAAGAAGTACAGCACACCTGCAGCTTTGTGGTCGGTCTATTAATCGAATCAATATTTAAAACCAACGTCATGCCCATTGATCGATCCGCCACCACATTCTTAGGAACAAATATTATTGGGGGAAATAACTTCATCAATACAATACCAGTACCTCTAATATAAAAATGCACTGAAAACTTACAGAACAATGATCAGGAAGTTAATGGATAGCCTCATAACATCTAAAGCAGATCACTAAATTCTGCGAGCCACTTGAATGTAACCAGGCCCTGATAGCAAGAAAGCACTCTTCTTGTCCCTCAATCTAATTTTAAAAAGAAGGTTCGCATGGTTAAAACTTTACAAGGGATCTTCTAAGTTCCTCCATGACTTAAAACCCTTAATTCATTCATACATGTTCCATGTAATGATATATTAAAGACTTTGGGCCTTCTAACTTCTCTACAAGTAGTGTGCAGATGAGAATTCTATGGTGCCTAACGACGCCCATGTAGTACAAAACCGAAGAATACTAAGAAGGTTTGTCTTCTCCCCAACATCATATTTCCAATTAATTTTTTCTCTACTAAATGCATGCTTTATATTTTCTTTATCTCCTTCATGAAGCTTATTCTCGAGAGTAACCTTATCGATCAAAGTTTATGTCAAACACTTTAAATACAAGAAATATTTAAGATTGTAAATAAATACAGTTCCCCTAACAGTTATATAGTCTTCAATATGCAAAAACTTCTAATTTTTGCATTGCCCAGGAAATCTTCTAAGGAAATAAATTTGAAATACTTCTAAAAATATGGACTTGCCATTAGTCCTTGAGCTCAAAGATCTATAGCCAAAAGGATTCACTGATTAACCAATATAAATAGAAAATGATAATGAGGAAAAAGAATATCGCGCAACATAATCTCTTCACATTACTTCTTCCCTCAAAATCTCAAAGAGATTTTACTTTAGGGATGACACTCCTTACAATGACTCGTGTTGTTTAGTACCATTCTAATGGTACTTAAAAAAACACTAAATCAACATCATTAAGTTAAATATCCAACGAAGGCCAGCATCTAAACCAAAACACAGCTACTAATTCATAATCCTTAAAAGGGAGTTTCTCATTTGACAGACTGGAAAATTAATTACATAATATTTCTTCGCTTAACTACATTTCAACTCTCTAGAGTAAATTTCTTTTCAACGAGGGGGAGTTAATGGCACATATGATGGCCACTTTTGTTTAGGAATGCTAACCAAATTTGTGTCAGTTGCATATCATCGTTTCCATTATTTAGAGTATTATAGTTAGTACACAATTTGCCATGTAGAAAAGTTTGATATTTCCCTTATTTGTTTAAAAAGATTGTCTCAACATTTGTAATAAAGTCTATCAGTATAAAGAGTGTCTAGAGCCATGTAATTCAAATGCTAATAAATTTGAATTTTGTTTCTATGAGATTTTTTTTTTCTTACCGGACTCAATTTCTTTGCATGGTTCAAAGTGATTTGATCTCCTTATGGACTCTTGATGATTTGCAGCTCCTTTGGCATTTAACTATTCAACATATTGTTTTGAGGATTAGACAACCTCGAGTGCTGAGAAATCAGCATTAACAACATGAAGTTTTGTTCTGTGTCCGTATAACCCTATCACATTTTCTCTTTCTTTTCAATTTTCCCTTTATCAATCATTCTACCAAATTTTAAGTATTTTGCACTTTCTCTGAGTCATTAGGTTGCCAAATGATGCATGTTACATATCCTTGACAATCCAAAAATTTAGCCATCATGAGTAGCAAGCTGTCTTCCATAAGGAAATAAAATAAAATAAAATAAAACAAAGTGCACATTTTAATCCAAATGAATTTGCTCACGCAGTTTAAACTTTGATTCTAAAATTTCCATCTAGTATAAAGTTAGCTACAATCTATGTATCACGATATATCAAAAAAAAAAGAAAGCATTTAATGGAAGAAAATAAAAGTTTTATAGCATCCATAACAATTACACTGATCAATTATTTTGCATAAAAACAAAACTGATTAATAAGAGTCATTAATAAAAGTTTTTTAATCAAGCAAAGTTGAGTCAATTACTTCTTTAATTGGACTGGGCTTGGTCGTATCATAAGTTGTTCGTTTTCAGTTCAAGCTTGAGTCAAGCTTTCACATATAAGTTCTTTCTTTGTTTGCTCAAAATTTTTTTAATGATCAAACTTATTTTTATTAATTGAACAAGAAAAAAATTAGAATGATAGTTGGATTTTCATATAAAACTAGAAATTTGATTTGTACCTGATTTTTCATATAAAATTAATAAATTGGCTAAAAATTCAAATAGCTACTAGATTTCTCATTTAAAGTCATTAAAAAATATTTTTATAAATCTTAATGAATAAGAAATTGAATAAATTTCAAATTAATATCTAACTAGTTTAAACCAAACAAACAAATTAATATATAAGTTGTAAGTTTCCCTGCAATCAAATAATATAAATATGTACTAGCAAATTAATTCAATGAAATAAAAAAATAAGAAAAAATTACTTTAGATTGATATGCATGTTAATATTAAATTATAATATGTAGAAAAAAAATATATAATTAAATAAATTCTAATTAATCAAATTTTATTTAAATAATATATTATATAAGTAAAGAGCACTTAAGAAATTACTTGTTTAATAGCAAACGAGCTTGTTCATGAACATCAATAAATGAGTTGGACTGTTCAAATCTAGTTCATCTAACCTCCAAGCTTTAAGAAAATATTCAAACCTATTTATTTACTAATTTGAGCAAACAAGATCCAGTATTAATCGAGCCAAGTTCGAGTTGTTCATCATGTGCATTGATTCATCAACGCACATGTTGTACATATTTAGGACCTAGACTGATTAAGAAAATTGAAGATGGAGCCTTATTAATGTCAATCAGGAATAACGGAAATTAGTCAGCTAAATTAGGAGTTTTCAATAATTAGGAGCTTCCTTAATTAAATTATTTTCAATATCTTTATTATGATTTATTTCCCTTTTAGCTGAATATTTAAATTAGGAATATATATTATTAAGTTACCTAAAATAGATTATACAGAATATTTTGTACCTAAAATAGATTGTAAGATTATTATTTAATGGAATGAAAGCAAAGACAAAAGGCATCGAGCCTATTCAGCATTCAACATATTTTTCTCAAAACTTTGACAATTAAGTGGGGATGGGTAAGTAAACTTAAGAGAATAAATTGGACTGGTCTTAGCTACCAACTAGGATGAAGTACTAGTAGCTAACTAATAACAACAGCATAAGCGAGTGCTGCAAAGACTTCATGGATTGGTTTGCACATATAAATATTGAACTCCTTCAAAAAATAAAAAGCACAAGCAAATTAGGGTCATGTGCCATAATGTTGAGCATACGTATCAGGAATTGTGGCTTTTTAGGATATCAAGTATAACCAAACGGGAAATTACAAGAAAATTAATAACTAAAGCTTTTATTTTTCAGTACTCGAATGTTGTGCTATCTTATGAGATAATCATTCTTTGTGCTACCAAATTATATGTCATCATCATTAGACTAATCCCAGCTATTTGGGGATTAACATTAAGAATCCTCGTTTTTCATTCGCCCATGTCAACTGTTGCATTGGGTATTAAGCCCGCTCATCACAAATCAATTTGAACTTTCATCCATGTCAGAATAAGTTTAGCCCTTCTCTCTCCTCATCATCTGAGATTAATTTTAAATACCCATCTAATGGTTCATTTTTACCCTTATTGTATACATCTAAACTACCAAAATCTTCTTTAGATTAGCTTATATTCAACTAACAACACTCTGATCATTCCTTTGGTGTGCTTATTCATTAATTTATCCTTTCAAATTTTTTTGAACATTCATCATAGCATTTCCATCCTCACCATACCAAATTCAATTATCAATGATTTTTTTTATAATTCAACAATCAGATGCATATACAAAAGCCAACATAATACACTTTTCCAAAAATTACCTTTAAGTAATAATAATATCCTCCAATCGCTCAATACTCTTACAATTCATCATTGTAATTGCCCAACCTTAACACTTGAATCCAGATCCTCATATGCATCTTCACTTTTCTATCCAACATACTTAAGCCTGTCAAACTAAGGTAATACATTATCTTATAATAATTCTGGTTGATGGCTAAAATATCACACCCAAAAAAATTATAAATCATATGCACAAACTTTATTCAATGAAATTTTATCTCACTATCTTCTAAACCTTATCTCCGTTATTCCAACTTTACACATCTAAAACCATCACTTCCAACTTTGAGCTTGGTTGAGATGACTTGAAAGTTGGCATTAGTAAGACAGTTAATTGTAAAACTATGGCAAACTAATGAAATAAATTCATTTTTAAAAAAAGGTCCCAAATTATAGATAACGAAGAAAATTTGATATTGGAAAAGTAAATAACCATTCGACGTTCAACAAACTTTGATACACAAAAATGCTATATTCAATTTTAAAGTAAATATTCTCCACCTTCTTCACGTACTCTATCATATGATTTCAATGGGGCGAAATAAATAGTCTCAACTCTCAAGCCCTATCAATATATTGTACTTTTAACTTAAAACAAGTTAACAACATGCATGAGCTATTCTTCCGAAAGTGCAGTTCAGGTTTGGTGAAGTCAATGATACGATACACCGACCAATAAGATGTTTACAGGATCATGTGTAACTTAAGCACAAGCAGTCTGAAAATTACTATCTCAAGTCATCCTAACATATAAAATCTACACATTTTTTTCAGACTCAAAACAATCAGGTAATATTCCAAGCTGAATAGAAAACTAATAAATATAATTATGTGAGACTGAATCTAAAATCTCCTTCCAAAATAAAATGCATGTTCTACCATGGCAAAAAATTAAGAATGAATTGACATTTAACCTTACCTTCCCTAGAACTTGCAGCTCCCGTCCAATAGGTTGCACAAACTTAAGGTTAATATCAATAGGCCAAACCTGTAGGTCAACAACAAAAATTTAATTTTTAGCACAATCTTCCAAAAAGCAATAGGTAGAAATTAAGTAATAAATAATTGAAATATCTTGCCATTAGACCATATGACAGCTTATTTTTTATCATACACTGCAAGGCTAACTTCAGACATCTCAAATGTTCTAACTTTCAAAATTGAATCATGGCATGCGTTTAATGAAAAAAATTGCATATGAAACTCTTTACAAATGTAAATAAATAAAGCCAAGTCAACATATCAAATCCAACATAAGATATTAGAAGCAATAACTTGCAGCAAAGGAAATACAAAATAGACTGACATTTACAGGTGAAAGATAAACTGCCCTGAATATCCCACAAACATGACGAATATATTCAAATGAGGCAAACTAAAGCGCTCTAAGGAAGCAAGCACAAAAATAACATTCCTCTATTTTGTTTTATAGAAGCTCATGAATGGTTAGATTTTAATGATTTGGTGACAATTTTAGAGCACACTAAAAATTTATGAATCCACTAGCATTGAACGTGTGCTAACTTAGAAGCGTGATAGGTTGGTTTGGATTTTTCTCTAATCAAATGAATTGAACAATCCCTAATTTCTGCTAATAGAAGAGTTTGAAAACAACTGATCTAAAAGATAAAATGTTCCGGGATTTAACTGACAACACCGGAAAAAAAAATTGAAGAGCCTTCTTAGAAATTTGTTCTACCGGACATTTTATTTTGTTCCAATCTGCAATATTGCTTCAATTTCCATGACTCTCAAATATACATACAGAAGGCAGGAAGAATAAAAGTGCAATAGCTAACTTGAGCGCTATTTACGTACATCATACGCACGCAATTCTGCATGCGTATGACCCCGAATAACCTTTCAATAACTCAGTTATGGGAGTTATTAAGAGGTTATTGGGGATATTAACCCCAATAACATCTCAATAACCTACCAATACATTTTGCGGTTTTGCACTCATCTTTTTTCCCGTCATTCGAGGGTTTCGTAAGGTTATTGAGAATATTGACATCAATAACAGCGACATAACCCTGCAATACCCTCCAAATAACCTTGCGTGAGTATGACCTACTTAAATATTTTTCAGCTAACTTAACATATAGACCACTTTTTCAAGATAATCGCAATTGTTTTGCCATTAAATGAATTCGCCAGCAATTAATGGAAGCTGATTGCATTCGGCTGTCTACTTCCATCCAAATAAACAAAAAAAAGCAGGCTAAGAACCAAACAAGTTATTAATGACAAAAAAATTCATAAACTTCAGAACATGATGCCTTAACAAACAACCAAACAGCTCTATCCAACCTTTAATCCAAGAATTCTAACTGGAGCCACCTGACCAGGAACGATGCACTCTGGCCCCGCCGATTCCAGCCTTGCTTCTGTTCCAAAACCCTCTCCAATGGGATTCGGATGCTAATAAACATAACAGAAGAATCAATACAACACTTATAAACAAACCAGCGATTCAAAAGGAGCGTAAAACGCAGCGTAAACAACTTTCATAACGCTGAGAGCGTAGCTGGAGTTAGGGTTTTGAGGGAGGCGAAGAACGGGGTTTTGGTGGATCCTCGGCACAGGCTTCATTCCAGCCGGAGATGCCCGCCATGGCACGTCTTCGGTAGCTGTAGTCGCTTAGGGGCGGCGGCGGAAGACATTTGCGCTGCCGGAAGCGGGAGGGAGAGAAGCGGGCGGCAACAACCAGCAGAGAGCTGAGGTTTTAGTTGCAGATAGATAAAGGGATAATTTTATCTTTCAATTTGGGAATGATAAGTGGCATTAATAAGAACTTTTATCATTCCCATTATATATATATATA